ACGTAAAAGCCTGTCTCTGAATATTGCAGTACCTTATTTTTACGGGTTTTCTTGGAACGTTCTGCCTTTCCTCACTCCTCTCTCCCTTTCCCTCTCCCTTTTATCCTTCTCCCCTTCTTTTCTTCTTCTCCCCTTCCACTCCCCTTTCCTTCCCCTCTCTCCCTTTTATCCTTCCCCTTCCACTCCTTTTCTTCCCCTCCTCTCCCTTTCTTTTCCTTTTCTTCCTTTTCCCTTCCCTCTTCCCCTCCCCTCCCTCTTCCCTTCTCCTTTCCTTCTCCCCTTTTCCTTCCTCCCCTTCTTTTTCTCTTCTTCTCTTCCACTCCTTCCCCCTCCCTCCCTCTTCTTCTTCTCCTCCCTCCCTCTCCTCCTCCCTTCCCCCTCCCCTCTCCGTTTCCCTCTTCCTTTCCCTCCTTCTCCTTCAGTCCCTTTCCTCTCCTTCCCCCCCTCTTTTCTCTCTTCTCCTTCCACTCACCTTCCCCGTCTCTCCCTCCCTCCCTTCTTCCCCTTCCACTCCCCTTTTCCTTCCCCTCCCCTCTTCCTTTCTCTCTTCTTCTCCTTCCACTCCCCTTTCCCTTCTCCCTCCCCTCCCCACTCCCTTCTCTCCTTCTCTCCCCTTCTCCGCCCCCTCCCTCTCACCTTTCTCCCTGGCGTGGCATACTTGGAATATTTGGTAATGCTGACATTAGTGATGATCAAATGACAATGATAGCAGTATCAAAGAGACTAATGGTAATAGTAATGATGATAATAAGGATAATGATAATACTAATGATAATGATGAAAATGGTAATGATAGTAGCGTTGAATAATAGTGATGATAATGATGATAATTAGGAAGATAATGATAATAATGACGATAATAGTAATCATGATAATAATTAGGATGATAGCAATAGTAACGTTGATATTGATGATAGTAATAATAACGGGGATAATGATGATAATGATAATGGTAGTGATAGTGATAATGATTATAAAAATGTATGATAATGATATAATAATTGTAATGATAATAATGATGACGATAACAATGATAATAGTGAATATGATAACAAAGATAGTATTAGTAGTAGTAATGATGGAAATACAAATAGTAATAATAATATTGATAATCACAATCATAAAGATAATAATGATAATATTCATTATAACAAAAACAAAGAAATAAAAGTGATGAGAATGACAATGAAATGATAGTACAAATATCAATAATAACAACAATGATAATGAAATGATAATGATAATAATATTAATGATGATAATGATAAAGATCCGACGACTACTTCCACTACTAATGATAATAATAATCATAGCAATGATTATGATAATAAAAGACAACAGTGATAATGATAATGCCTATGAAATGATAATAATAATGATAATAATAATAGAATAATGATGACGATACTACCACTACTATTAATAATGATATTGATAATAGTCACGGTAATAATACTGATAAGAATAAGGCTAATCACCATAATATTAACAATGATAAAAAGTATAGTAACAATAATGATAACGATTATGACCATAGAGGCTGACAACCACCAGCGTGACAACAAGAGATATTCAATCTAGCATATCCCTATTACATTCCTTGGCGATACGCACGGATGGCTAAAAACAATAACATCGCTTACGATTCGAATTGTAAACAGCATGGTCGGGAGGAAGGTGCGTGATTCTGGTAATAATATTTATCATATTGCCAAGAACTAGCGAAAGGGTTACGAATGGATTTAACGTTAACTGGTATGACTGTGGTAAAAGTATTGTGACGCACATAGAGAATTATAATGGTAAGAGTCATTGATGATGGCAGTAAGATCGCTGTTGTCGTATAAAAAAAATGAATAACCTTTATGAGTCTCACAAATTGTTTTACTTTGATCTCAATTACCTTCTATCATTATTGACATACCATTGATGCTACCGTCACTATTATTACAAATCTTGTTACTCTTTGTTAACAAAAATCGGGTAAAAATCATCCTTATCACTATTTTCATATCATATCATACTTACGTTCCTTTAAAACAGCATTAGCATTTTTGTTAACATCATTATCATTGTTATCATCACAATCATTATCGTCATCTTTACCATTGATATTGCTCTTTTTATCGCTATCGTAATCCTTATTAGCATGATTATTATTGTTGTTCTTATTATCATTTTCGTATTGTTGATAATGATAATGATAATAGTTATAACAATATAAATAATGATAATGATTATAATTATGATAATGATAGTAATGGTAATAACAATATTAATGACAATGATAATAGTGATAATAAGAATAATGATATTCATAATAACAGTAGTAATAATAACAACAATAGTATTGGCTATCAATAATATTAACTAATGATATTATGACATATCAATAATTAATGATATTAATAATAATAATAATAATGATGATGATGATGTTGATGATGATAATAATGATAATAACAATGATAATGATAATATCACTATCATTTTGTTATAA